CCCACGTGAAACTGGGGGAAGCGCTGCGCGGCCAGCGCCAGCCACATCTCCGGCTCGCCAGGATGGTACGTAGCGAGGATGCGGAAGGCAATGCTGTAGCCGCTGCTGGAGGTGTCGTCCAAGTACTCTGCGAGAAAGGAGTTGCTGAATTTGGAGAGGTACGTGGCTACGTAGCGCAGGAGGAGGCCTCGCCCGGACAAGTGCTCGTTGGGGACCACGTTGTCCTGGTGGAACTTCATGACGTCCAGCTCCTCACTGTCGTAGGCCCGAATGCCCATGTCGGAGTCAAGCTCTGTGTGGTGCAGCTGGAAGTGACCGTCTGGCGTCATAGTTGTAGGGCCTGCGTGCACGGGCCATCCGCTGCCTGTCCGCCCTGTCTGGCCATCCAGAACGTAGCCGCGAAGCGGGTGTCCCTCAGCAGGTGCATCAGCGCGTAGGCGCGTATCCAGAGGGAGACCCTGCAGACTGTCAGCGAAAGTGAGACCGTGCAGATGCGGCGTCTCACGACCGTGATAGGCTTGAGACGGGAGCTTGCGCTTTCCATCTTGGAACTCGACGCGGGCCGCGAAGTTGAGAATGGAGGTAGAGGTCGCTGGGGATGTGCGCAGCGTGGACGTAGACCACCGTTTGGAGGATGGGCCGTGCCTCACTGCACCACCGTGCACCCATTCGCGAAACATTTCCGTCATGATATGCGTCAAATGCAGCGTCTCGGGCCCTGCCAGGTGCTGCCTGGATCGGTGACCTTTCTGCAGAGCATCGAGGATCCACCGATGATAAGGCGCAGACCATTCATACGGGGCCCACGTTTTGAAGAGAACCGGCGGCCCGCACTGTCGCTGTAGGTCCAGCAGTGCTGCGTGCCTCTGCGCCCAGTACGCAGGCGTCCACGGCTGCTGCTTCAAGGCGAGGCGCAGGGGCATGTGCTGCAGAGCATGGCGCTTGCTGCCAATGTCGGACCACATGCTTAGATCGAAGACAAACTGCAGGAGCTCGTAGTCCATGGAGTAGTCCAGGATGGGGCCCAAGACTTTACGCAGGAAGGAGCGGCGAACGCTGTGCCGTGCAGGCTCTTCGGCCTCCTCCAGCTCAGAACCCTCATCCAGGATGGGATCAGGCTGAGGGCCAGCTCTCGCCAAGCGGCGGATGTCCGTGGCCCGCTCGACGGTCTCGCACAGATCCGCGTGAAAGTACAGGTCTGGCCAAACAGCGCATTCCAGGCCGGGCTCCTCCAGAAAGTGAAGCGGGAGTTTCGGATCTAGGTCCGGATCGGTGGCTGCCCGCTGTAGAAAGTCATCGTGTTTTTGTGCAAAAGTAGCATACTCTGAGACAGTGTGCTGCAGCAGAAAGTGTCGCGCCTTCCGAGCCTGCTTGCGCAGTTGGCGTGTAGGCAAGGCTGAAATCTTCTGGTCGACGGATGTGAGACTCCAGCGGAAGCGGATGAGGGCCGTATGGATCCGATAGCCATAATCATTGCGTTGGTACGGGCCGCAGTCGACATCAAGTGGACGTAAAGCCTGTACGACGCAGTCAGACAAGCCCCGCAGAGGCAAGGGCACGTCAGCCACGCAAGGGATCCAGTGGCGAGACGCGCCTTCGCAGTTCCGGCAGGAGCGCGTGCACGGTCGCGGCAACCGGGAAGCGTCGGGTTCTTTGAGAGGTCGTGGATGGAGCGAAGAACAAGTCAAACACATGGACCAGGACCCCTCCTTGCACCAGGCTTCAACATTGCTGGCAACCGGCGACACATGTGCAGCCGGCAGGCCGGTGTCGTTGGGAGCCTGGTCGGACACGCGGGCTGCGAGGTCTGCTGTCAATGGGTTCCGCCAGAAATGCCCGCTGTGAAGTATTTGACGGTCCTGCGTGCGAAACAATGTTGCACTGAAGGCCAAGAAAACAAGATGAAATTCTGTCCTGCTCGGGGAAGAACTTGCGGCGAACACGCCGACGATCGGCTGCCTGTCGGTCTTCGTACTGCTTGGCCTCGTTCGGGTCAGCTGGCGCACGCAGCCGCTGGCGCTTCGCCAGTGCAGCGGTCCAATCCTGTTGTAGAAGAAGATGCTGGCGAGTCTGCGCCTCCAAGGTCGGTGTGGTCGGTGTGACCTCGCCGAGGGCACACAGTGCAGCGTCGAAAACGTCCTCGTCGTGCTGCAGAAAAGCCTGAGTGCAGGAAGGCTGCTGGTCCAAGGATTTAACGTATGGACATGAGTAAAATGTGTCTAAGGTACGGCAAGAGCAGTGGTGATGCGGGACTTTCGCGTAGCCAGGTCGTGCTCCAGGCGCTCGAGATCGCAAAAAGTACAGCGCGGCCGTCCGGAGACCAGCGCCGGCTGCCCGGGCTGCTTCACATTAAAGCGGCAGGGCTGCGACGCGCCGCGGCAGCGGGAGGGCATGGCAGCTAGCACGCAGAAGTGGGCGCGCTTGCAGAGCCCGGCTGCAAACATTTGTTGTGTGACCTGGAAGCACGGCCCTCGTCCAAACCATGTGTGCTGGCTGCATGTGCTGAGTAGGCGTGCTGCAAGTGACACATTTTCACCTGAGAAGGGCAGAGAGGCAGCGGCTCTAAACATCCGAACTAGGTAGTGGTCACAGCTGTTCTGTCTGCAAGCACAGGCCACCTACTTCGTGCAAAGAGTCGCTACAGCGTAGGATGCGACAGATGCTCAAAGGCTTCGGATAATGGTCGCAGTGTTCTATACTCTGCAACACAACAAAGCGCAGCTCAGGTGTCGGACTTGGCCTGGGCCTCCGCGGCAGCGGCCTGCTGCGCCTCCCAGAAAGAGACGGCGGTCGTGATGATGTACTCAAGGCGTTCCGCGATTTTGGGCCAGTTGGATGGCAGCTTCTTGAAGGGCAGCTTGACAACAAGATCAAAGGACTTGAGCACGGGCGCAGGCACGGCAGCGAGCAACTTGGAAAGCTTGGGGACGTTGGGTGCCTTTGCCTTGCCGAACTCCTGCCAGTCCTGCTGAAGGGACTGGACTTCGGAGAGTTGCCATTCCTGCAGGGCCACAGCTTGCTCAGCAGTCAGGTCATCATCGTCGTCAGACTCGGCAGCAAGTGGCTCCAACTTGCCTTTCTTGGGCGGCCGCTCGCGGACGCGCCTTTCAGAGGAGGAGGAAGCAGCGCTGCTGCTGGATTTCTTCTTCTTGGACGACTTCTTTACCTTCTTGGCCTGCTTGCTTTTCTTTTTTTTCTTCGTGGCCTTGGAAGAATCCGAGGAGCAGCTTTTCTTGGGACTGGGCTTGCTGTCGTCAGCAGTCAATGGGCGCTTGGCGGTCTTCTTCCGCTTGGGCATGACCTGCGTCTGGTAGGAGGCCATGAGCATCTTTAAGATTTTCTTCTCCGCAGTGGGATCCTTGAGCCAGGCCTGCAGTGCAGTGGGCGTGTCCTCCAGGTCCAGAGTCCTCATAGCCTTGCCAAAGGCTTCCGTGTCCTGGACGAAGGCGAGCTGTTCGAGAAAATCCATGCTGAAAAGATAGAGTCGCCCAGCCAGCATGGCGATTTTCCGAGTGGCACGGGCTTTGACCTCTGTGTCCTCGGAGAGAAAACCGAACCAGGCCTTTATGTCTGTCTCCAAACTTTCCTGTGTGTGCTCTGCCTGGTTCTTGCGATTGAGCCGGGCGCAGCTGCGCAGGTACTGCTTGCCGTTGGCGCTCTCAAGTGCTTCTGCAACCACCTTGAATCCGAGGGCATCATAATTTTCGCTGAGGAGCGCAGCTGAAGAGAAGTAGTCCTTGAAGAGCTGGCCGCCAGCTTCTGCCACGCCAGACGCCTCCGACAAGGCTACGCCTGGACGCACGCACCATTCAGAGTTGAGAGGTGAGCGGGTGGCCGCAATAGAAGCAGGCTTGAGGAATTTGGTCTCATCCTCGCCCTTAGTGTAGAAAGGGCTGCCCACGTCGTCGACGTAGGGGCTGAGGGCAAACTTCGGCCAACGGTTTCCAGGCTCGGGCGGGCGCAGCTTGGGCTTGGTAGGGATGGCCCTCGGCGCCGTCCGCGGAGGCTTGGCAAAGCGGCGAGTGTGCA